ATTTACATCCCGAAATTTTTTGAGAATTTTTAGACAACTTTTTTCAAATTTCGACCTATTTTGTACCATTTTTGAAACTTAACTAAATATATTTTCTTGTAGATTTCCGCCCTAGAAATCACTTTCGGTCTCGTTTCTTTGATAACTCCAATTGTTTTTAAAACATACATGAATGAGCCATAGTTTTGGAATCGGCACGTCGAGATCTACATCCCTAAATTTTTTTATAATTTTTAGACAACTTTTTTAAAAATGGAAGAACAAAAATGTTGACGACGATGGGATTCGAATCAAATTCAACTTTTTAAAGCGATTGCTAGAGAAAGAATAAAATTGTTTTTCTTTTTCTATGTTAAAATAATATTAATATAGTTGCGTTTATCATCAAACTGCAGCTATTATCATGTTCAAAGTCTCTGACGACAGTTTAATCTACCAAAAAAATATGACTGAGAAATGTCGCAAAAAGTACCATTTTATGTGTGTTAAACATTATAGAATCGCTTGAAAATTCTCACTTTGACGAAGTAAGCAAATATCGGTAAGGTTGTTTATGTAAAGTGATTTTGATCAAAAATCAAGGTACGTAATTTTATAAAATTTAAATAGTATTTGCTACACAGTTGAGCCAACTCCTGAAAATGGTGGGAGCTGTCGAAAAATGAAACCGAAACTAACTTCCGGAAGTTGAAGAAAATTGGCCGAAATTTTCATTGAAAAATATTGGTTTTGACAAAAATTAGATATATATTTTGTCGGGCTATTTCCGAAAACATAGAATGTTTATCCAGCGGTGGCCAGATTTAAAAATATTCAGTCTGAATTTTTTTTTTTTTGATATACAAAAAAATTGCAGTAATTCACTCGGCAATTCTAGAAAAATGGTAATTATTGAAGATGTAAGTCGGTTACAAAAAATTTCCGGTATATAACTAGATTTCGCTGTGCTGATTCCAAAAAGATAGCGTGTTTACGCGCCTCCGGCAAATTGTTGGTGAGGATGATTAGACTAATTTTAGTCAGCGTTTTATCACGAACACGATTTTCTTACGTTAAAATTTGACAATCCGGTAGTTTCGAAGATTATCTGTCTAATAAAAATCAACACGGACAGTTGACAACCATATAGACAGATAGACAGAAAAACAGAAACGGGAGATCTATGTTTTCATAGTGTGGGGATTATGAAACGCCGAGAAAACATGAAAGTAGCCGAATGAACCATATTGTAAAACTTCAAAAAGAAGAAAAAAATGAGTTTATGAAGAAAATAGTATCGCTAAGGACATTCCAAATAAAACAGACCCTAATACCTCTTTTTTGTGTATGCAGTGAGTGGTTTACAACACTTATTCCGAAAGTTTCAAATTTATATGACAAAAAATTGGTCGACACTTATTTCGGAACTCGTGTCTTTGTGTCTTTGAAGAATTATAAAATTTGATTTTGTGATTTTTTTTTGTGAGATCCTCTAAAACAACCTTATTTATAACCCATGAGAATAGACCCAAAATATTTTGCACATTTTAGATCGGGTATATCCCAAAAAAGTTAGGCTTCGGCGTTATCAATTTTTTTAAATGTTTGCGAGATTTCGACGCATTCGGTCTTCTGCTTCCAAAAGTAAATTAAAAATGTTGTAAAATTTTGATTGTTTTCCAAACACCTCGATGTCAATGGTAAAAACTCAACACGGATTCTTAAACCATAAGTGCAGAAGTATGTTATTTTATAAAATTTAAATAACATTTATTCGGCCAAATTGTAAGATGACGTTATCAATTTGATGGGGAGGCGATCATAAACGGATAAATTTTAATCAACGAATTACGATGTTTTCGATAATTTAAAAATATTTGCAAAATTTCAAAGAATTCAATTTTCATTAACGGTTTACCACCATGTTTATGACAACTTTAAAACGTTCGTATGATTTTAGAGCATTCGGTTTTGAAGATTCAAAATTAATTTGCAGAATGTTGTTATATATTTTGATTTTTTTCCAAAAATCCGAACGTCTGGGGTAAAAACTCAGCAGGGATTCCTAACCACAAGTGACAATTTGACAACAATCCGTGCAGTAGTTTTACAGATTAATGATGGATGTGTAATTAAAATCTGTCTAGACAGACAGACGGCGAGGGAGACAGACGGAAACGGGAGCGAAATATAAGCCCCGCCCACCCACCCCCTCTCAATTGTGATGATTTTTTTTATTCATCGTGAGTCGAGGGCGGAGCTTAGTTGCAAAATCCTCATTTCTCTACAAGAAATTACCATGTGAAATATGTTCTTGAAAGAGCAAAATTTTGTAAATAAATATGGATTTTGCAATTAAATTCCGTCGGTCGGTTTGTCAACGAATAAAAAAAATCATTACAACTGAGATAGGGTGGGTGGGCGGGGCTTATATTTTGCCCTTTCTTCTTAATTTACATAGTCTTATTTTCTCAACAAGAAACTTAAACATGTTCAAAATTTTTGTAGAGAAAGATGTATTTTGCAATTACGTTCTACCCCTCGGTCTGACAACAAGTAAAAAATTCATCACAATTCATGTCGGGACTTTTTTTAGTTACATATAGTTTTCTTTGAACAACACAATAAAATAAGTTTTTAATTTCTTGTTGGGAAATGAAGATTTCGTATATTAAAAAGAATGTCTACCTTAACTTTTTCCCATTTTATTTGACATATGTCAATACCAGTCTATCAAAGATAAAGTCATGGATGACCCGTTTACAATCAAATCAGATGGGAAACTTATTTCGGGATTGCAGTTGGCTAAGTTTCAGAAAACGTATGTCGATATTTTTTAAACGCAATGACTTTTTACACAATCGTGTAATCAGCTTAATAAATTAAACAGACTTAAAGCAGACGCTTCACTCAGAAATAACGATTTGTGTGTGAAAAAACAAGAAATATATTTTTAAATCTACAAGTTTACTTATGTTTGCATGCGCCATCTATTCGCTGGTTTTATAAGTATGTACAGATATCACGGAAAACCTTCACCACGAACCTTCAACAAAAGTATTCTTTTTATAAATGTCTTGTGTGTAGATTCCTTCAAAAATGTGTCGGCACTAGTTGGATATGTAAAAATAACTTCTTTTATGATAGACAAGGAATTTATAATTTCTAAAACTAGTCTCTCGTGGGGTTGTTAGTGGCTCTTCCGGCGGAGAGATGTCAGCCCGACTCTTAACAGGTAAGATTAGTCACTAGATAAGATATAACGAACTAATTATAAGTTATAACGGAAGATTATAAAACATTAAACTTGATGAATGTTGTGCAAAAAAAAAAATCTGTCGATAAATTGGTAAGTGAACAGAGACAAACCATTTTTAACTACATCGTTCTCTCAGAAATAATATTATGTTTTTAATATGTGAAACGTTTCATACGATTTTTAGAGTAACAGTTCAGATAATTTTGTTTTACGCTGTACATGTTTTCAGTTCATGGGTATGCTGAGTTGAATTCCACACTTAAAACGGGTGGTTAATAATTTTTTATCACAATATTCCGAGTATTTATAATTTTTTTTTATCGTTTAAATTACTAAATTATTATATATTTTTGCAACAACGTGTAGGTTCAACAAATTTATAAAATATTTTGAAGGAAATATTTGGTGGAGGCGCCGGGTAAAACTAATCAACGGACAGCTAAATATTTCGTAAGTAATAAATTTGCGTAATTGTCGCTATTTAGTAAAGCATTGCAACAGAGGACAACAAATAGATAATCGCAAAAGCACAAAAAAAAAAAACACTTGGCAGTTTAGTTAGAATTTTATTTAAAATAGGAATACACAAGTAAAAAGTCTCGAAGATCTTGAATTTAACATTTAGAGAATTGTAACCGCTGCTACTGCAGAGCTTTCTGCTGAGAAAATCTAAAAGTAAGCACAACCAATTTGATAAAATTTCGGAACAATGAAATCAATTAAAAAAACTAGATGAACTACGTAAGATGTTTTTCTGTCTTCTCACATAATGCACGTAGCTTGTCTTATCCAATCTGCGGAATATACCGTTGGTTACTTAATTCCGAATTCCAGACTTTCGGACGCAGTTGAAGATATAAATAACCTACCCAGACATGGTATGCACAAATCCACAATTGTCGCTGAAGGTTATATGTATATTCCCAAAGTTAACAAAACGTTGCCCTAGTTAAGCCGAGATTGCCCAACGCTGTGTTTGAAGTACGTTTGTCTCAAAGTTGTGGGATGTCAGCAAACCCGCCTTTCGGGGTTTTGGCCAACACTTCGTGAGGTCATTGGAGAGTGGAAGGAGGCAGTCGGACTTGAGGTGCAACAAAGTTAGCCGAGAGATTAGTCATAGCAAGTGTGTTTTTATTTTATTTTTGTGTCTCTCTTAAGCTGTTTTTTAGTAAGTGTAAATACGTCAAGCATCCAAACTTACTAATTTAACTTGTAAATAAAATTACTTAAACATTCGCTGCGTCTGAACGATAAAGTGCGATCAGCAAAAAATGTCGTCTAGTTGGCGTTAGGCTGTTTTGTTTGCATCGATGAACGTGGTAGACTAGGAGAAAAACAGCTCGTCCCACACTAACTCGAGAGCGTTTTTTGTTGACCGCACCTTTAAATTAAATTTTAACCGGAGAGTTTTCACTGTTTACCTGACTAGTATGTAATTAAGCACGTACTGTTCTGATCGAAGTCTGTCTAGAAAATAATGATTACGTACCGGTAGAAAGAAAATCAACTAAATTAATTAAAGTTTGTTGAAGTGTCTTTTTTTGTCAGCAAAGTTAAGTAATGTGAGACATGCTTGTCAGAGAAAATATACGTCCACTTTGACTCTAGAAACGACTTTTTTATGTTAAGCGTAATTCCCAGTGGAAATATTTGGGTGCTTTTCATGTTGTTATATGTTTTCTCTCCATGGAACGAAGTTTTTTTGTAGTTAATATGCTTATAGATAGTCGTATCATTTTTGGTGATAAATTAAATTAAAAACTTGTTACATTTTGTACAAGTACATTTATTTAACATATGTTAGGGAAGGCAACATCTGTGGATATAAACATTCAACATGTTCCACATTTATTCTATATGGTTATATTAAACATTAATGATACATATTCAGTTCATCAAATAGCGTGCAATTTTTGCAAAATTACACGTTCACACAGTCATAAGATTTCAACACTACAATTAATTCAGATTATAGTGTTAAAAATAATGGAAATAATTGTCAACTACTTTCAAGTTAGGGCTCTTTTGTTGAAAGTTATTGACAAATAGTCCACGCCTTAAGTTTGTCAAATAAAACCCCTGCAACTTAACCTAAGATTACTGAGTACATACACGCAACATTAAATTATGTACAAACCAGATATATGTTTCAGACTGGATTCAACACATATTTTATACAGTCTCTTAAACAAATTACAACATACAAGTACGAATTTGTTACAAAGTATTTAGTCTTCTTACAAATAAAAAACAAAATGGTATGAGTCTCTTTAAGCGTAATATTTCTCTTAACATTGAGTTAGCGATAAAAATTACAAAACAGTTTCATTGGTACAGGTCCTCGGTCCGTTGACCAAGGAATACCGCGAGGAGCCGTTCCTGGTCGAAACGGCGCCCCTAATAAACAATTCCTTAAAAGTCTCCCTAAATTGTCTCGACATACCACAGTAAATAGCAAAATTGATAGGATAACTCAGAATTATAAAAAAATTCGTAAACAAAATTAACGTATTCGCTACATAATAGTCCAAGAACTCGTACAGTGTGCTCGATATAATGTGCAACAAAGTAACCACCACTAAAGGAATCTCTACGATTAAAAACACAGTTACTACAACAATAAGCATCAGCGTCGTGCAGTTCGAGTCTCTCAGTCTCTTGCATTCGTTCTTTTGATTCTTCTTCGACAGCAGTTGGTCTCTTCTCTGTTGTGCTTGTTTCAAGGCGCGAAAGAGGAGGATATTCAAGATGACGAGGGCGACGCAAGGGATTAGGTGTACGAATAATACCCTGAACATGAAGTAAGTTATGAAGTAGCAGTTTTCTGTCACGTAGAACTTCACCCAGTAAGCGCGTTCACGTCTGCATACGTGAGTTGTGCGATTGTTCCATAACACGTCCACCTATAAAATAAACACAGATTTAGTGCCAAATAGGAACTCACAGTCCGAGCTGCAGTTTACTTCGTTGTAAATGCGATGGAAGTTTTTGTGACGGTTGTTGCATTAAACACCATTCATATTTCGACCAACGAGAAACGATGCATAAGTTTTTCAGTTCGAAGCGCTAATTTTGTAAAAGCTTTTCAATGCAATCCGTATTCAAACAAATATGAATGAACAGTCATTGGAATGAGACGGTTGAAATGAAGGTGTATTGATTGAGTTTCTATGCTCGTCACACTTGGGAATTTTCCGGTAAGTGCTTTTATTTAAGTTGTTTATATTGGTATTTGTCGGATGTAATCGAATATCGGTTTAAATCAGTGCAAGCTTTAATAGCTTCCTATTGGTTAAAATCAATATCATTCAAGTTGTATCAGTTCTTCGTTATAACGCCAATTTCTAAACTTTTTTTATTGAAACAATTTTTAAAAGTTCAAAAAAGATGAACTTCGGTTTTAATTTGACGGCACCTGTTTCATCGCGTTTTCAATTTGCAAATTAGAGTAGCTTTTGATGCATAAATATCAACACTGTCGGTTTTTTCCATACATAAGAATTAAGGCTTGTAGCCCTGAATTGTCGAAAATAATTTCCAATTCAATTTGAGTCGAGTTGAGTCGAGTTCTGTTGAGTAAACAATTTTTTTAAACGCATTGACAAATAGGAGAATTATTTAAATAACGAAAACTGTTTTCGTTTTCGATCAGGCGGGAAATACTGTCACCGATTTAATGATATGCTTTTACACTCTTTATTCTCTTTTATTTGTTCTGGAGATAACAGTTTTCAAATCATTTGATGGATAAGTGTCAGGTTTTATTTTATTATATTGTCCCGATAAACTAAAATTCTTAATAAATTGCAAAACTTAGATAATTTCCGGAGCCGTTCGACTGATGATTATTATTGTCAATTTTTATAAATAGGTACTTATATTGGGAATATCGCAAGATGGTAAAAGCATGATTATCCCTCCCCACGAACTATTTGATGATGTCAAATAAAATTTTATTTTAAAAAGTGGTTTTTAAATTTTATAAAATAACGTTCTCCTGTACTTGTGGTTTATGAATCCGCCTTGAGTTTTACCCTAGGCACCTAGATTTTCGCAAAAAAACACGATCCCCAATTGATGTTTTAACTTGGCTGATTAGAATGCGGACTACTACACGAAGGTCGCCGTTTCGATCCTTCGATGGAGCAACTAATAATTCAGTTCTAATGACAGACTTGCTACATATTTCAAGAAAACGGAAATTTCTGACTGAAAATGCAACTGATAAATTTTTCAAAATTCCTTATTGTGAAGTACAATAAATCGATACCTGAATATCTTTCAGATACATTAAAATATGTCCTCTTTAATAATCTTCCCATAATTCTAAAATAAATTGTTGCTTTTTCCTTCGATCAATCACTTTTGATACTGCTGGTTTTGATCCAATCCAAAAGAACAAATTCGATGCAAATTAAATCATGATATAGAAAGTTAATTCAAATAGGATTGAAAAAGCAAGCAAATTAAAGACAATAGTAGAAGGTTATTTAGGCAGAACTTGCCTCGTTCCTGAAGCACAATAAAACAAATATAGCTTTTTAGAAAAAATATAAAATTTGATTTTGCGCGTTTTAATTTATTTTATAGAGGACGTTATTAGATAGATATATGTATGTAATATTAAAATAAATATAAATAATCGCGTTACGCGTTTGTTTCAAATGAGTTTTTCTTTTACAAAATTTTTGATGGCCTCATCAACATTTTTGCGATGACACGTATTTCAATTTGAATAAGTGCAGTGTAATACTAATAATAATAACAGTATTGTAAGTAACTTTTCGCGAAAATGGAGTGATCCATTCCTGGTTTAATCAATAAAATAAACTGATTCGTTCATTAACTTTTTTAATCACCCTATATAAGCAATTCTAAAAAAATGAACGCGATTATAAATGACAAGTATAGACTCATCATATTTTTCATTCAATTTTGAAATGACATCATTTATGTTTACATGTATTTATTAAGCTTAGGGTAACTTGAAAACGTCTGCAAGATTTCAAAGCTTTCAGCTGTGCTGATTCAAAATTAAATTGCAAAATATTATTATAGAATTTAGATTTTTTTTCCAAAAATCTTCATGTCTCCAGTAAAAACTCAATACGGATTCATAAACTATACGTATAGGAGTATATTGTTCTACAATATATCTTTCAAACCCATTTACTATAGTTACAATTTTGAGGTAACGTCATCACATTGTTAGTGGGGCTGATTGGACAAAGTTTGACTATAGCGTTTTACAAGGTACATAATGTTCATAGTACACATATAAAATTTGACAACAGTAGTTGCGGAGATTTCTATCTAACAGAAATCGACTCAGGCGCCGAACAGACAGACAGACAGACAGACGGAAACGGAAGACTCATTTTTTCGTAGTTAGAGGTCATGACACATTGAAAAAAATATAAAAGTAGCTAGTCGCCCAATGGACTCGATTACAAGAAGATTAGTTATTTAGACAAAACTTGTCTCCCCGTTGAGGAACAATCAAGCATACGAATCTAGTTACTTAGATAAATTATAAAAATATAAGTAGATTAATAAATAAATCCTAAGGCATAGGATTTTATAGATTTTACCTTCGAGGTGACGTCATCAAAGTTTGGGTCGGAATAAAGACACAAAAACAGTGTCCTAAATTTCAGAACAATTATTAATTTAGGAGTGTCTAAGCTAAATTACAAAATCTTGTTGTGATTTTTTTCAAAAATCTGCACATCAAAAAAAAATTTAGGATTTATCCGTCAAATTTTTGAGACTACGTGCGATTTATTATGCTTACGATGACCTGAAACATTTTCAAAATGTTATAGGGACTGTCAAGACAGTTCAAGATTTATCGTAATTTTCTCTTATTTTTACTTCTCGAGCGTAAGCAAGGACTCTCTACTTTTACATTTTCTCGACCTTTCATGACCCCTAGAGGACGAAGAAATAGGTCTCCTGTTTCCGTCTGTCAGTGCGTCTGTCTACCGTCCCGAATTTTTATTAGACAGATAATCTCCGAAATTACTGGGCGGATTGTTGTCAAATTTTTGTATATATATTAGGAATATCATATAGATAAATAACATAGTCCTACACATGTAGTTTATGACTCCGAATTGAATTTTTACCCGAAACGTCTAGATGTTTTGAAAAAAAAAAATCAAAATTATGAAACAACATTTTGCAATTTAATTTGGAATCTGCAAAACCAAATGCTTTGAAGTCTTGTAGATGGTTTACAGTTATGGTAAGAATGATACATTTTTAATCAAAATATATTTACTTATCTAAAATGTATAAAATATGATGAGTCTGTACTTGTGATTTATCATTCTATTCATATTTTTTGGATTTGCATATACAGGGTGACTCAAAAAAGTTAATGAACGCGTGAATTTATTTTATTTGATATTTTTGATGAAAATGTATTTGCTCATCCTCCCCTGAAAATTTGATCACGCCGCCCAAAAATTTTGCTGGAAAAATCCTATCTTAAATGTACAAACTATGATGACTATATACTTGTGATCTAACACGGCATTAATATTTTTTAGATTTGCTTATACGGGGTGTCTGAAAAAAAATAACGACTAAGCCAATTTATTTAATTTATGAAATCAAGAATTTCAACACTGAATATGTATTTTGACATCTTGACGTTGTGAAGTCATTGTAAGCATGTTACGTTTTTAATCAAAATGCATCTATTTATCAACCCCAAAAATTTGATTACGTCATCTCAAAATTTTGCCGAATAAATTCTTTTTAAAACGCGCAAAATATGATCAGACTATACTTGTAATTTATCATTGCATTTATATTTTTTAGATTTGGTTATACAGGGTGACCAAAAAAAATTAATGAACCAGTCAATTTATTAAAGAAGGTGAAACCAGAAGCGAGGGAAGTTCTATCGAAATAACTTTTGAACAATTTTTTTAAATTAAAAAAGAAAGGTGGAGTAATAAACTACTTGGATACTAGCAAATTATTTCATAAATTGAATATAATTAATAAAATTTTAAGAAGACATTATCAATTTACTGATGGGAATGACTAAACTACTTTTGATTAGCGTTCACCCAAAATTCTAGAACAATCGGTCCAATAGTTTTCGTCTAGTAAAATCGCCAAGAGGCGGAGAGAGAACTGACAGACAAACGGAAGCAGGAAACCTACAATTTCATGTCCTACGTACAATAACAGAAAACAGAAAATTAGCCATCACTTAAATAAATAGGTTTTTGTGTCTGTAAAAATGAATTATATATTGTTTTTTATGATAAATATTCACAATGGCAGGTAAGTAACTAAATAGCATTAACTTAATTTAAATTGGTCAACCAATACTTTAATACTTTTATTAAAACAACAACGAAATCTTATAATTATAAAAACCTTTCCTAGATAATGCAAATGGTAGTAGTTTCCAATATTACACTAAGACTTTAAGAAATTGGCTGACTTTTGTCAAAATGGTCCCCGATTTTTTTGAACTGCATTCAAACCAACAAAAAATACAAATATAAACAAAGCAAATGACACTAATTGCTATTAACTTTTAGTGGATATATTATCCACCCTCAGTACAATTTTAACTAATTTTTACGCCAACGAAAGTACACACCTAAAGCAGGTTTATACTTTTTGTGGGTTTTTACAGAGATTTTCCACGGAATTGCTAGAAATAACAATTTTAATTTTGCACCGCACAGCATCACCGGAGTTTTTATTGTAGTCAGCATCAGGACTTGTGGCGGCGTCACTCCTAATGAACCGAACAAAAAACGTGATTTTTGTAGATGACATTACTTCAGTTTTAATGTCCTGTTCTAGTCAAATTTTTGTGGTCAGTTGTAGCTTATTTTAATGCCGGCGGCAAAAAATACCCACTACGTAGGCT